TCGGGCAGACCTTTCCTGAACAGACGGTCCTAAAGAGCACATCGATCCACGAATCGAAGACACCTTTGATGTCGAGAAACAAGACTACGGTGGGTCGCCAATAATTATGGCGATGCTCCAACAATTGACGTGAGGATATGGTGGATGCAGCCTCGATTTCGACAAAACTCGGCTTGCTCATCGCGAATCGGACTTCCATGAGTGCCAGTCAGTTTGTGGAGAACGACGGATGCAAGCAACTGAGATCAGACTGATCCCGCCATGATTGCTGCATCCTGAAAGGCAATCCCCCTTGAAAACTGGGAGTATAAAGGAGCGTCTCCAGTCTGTTGAAACACTCTAATGCCCCAAACATTTCACTTGTAACTTGTGTAAACCATCTACAAGAGCACATCCGCTAAATTTGAAGAGGGTTGGAAGAATTCTATCTGCCCCTGCGTTCGAGTTATGTACGTTAGGACGGATCCAAGGAGACGGCCCAGAGAGTAGGGCGATCAATGACTGATGGAACCGCTTCTCAAAATGTTCGGCCCAACGCTCCAAGTGTTTTGACAAGCTGTGGATCGGCTGTCCACTCTCATCACTTATAATTCCACTAACACCAGGTCTCCTGCTGCCAGTTTTCTGTATCAGACGGAATAACTTATGATGGTTACTAACAACCGCGGCTGTTTCCATTTCCGATGCATGGTGAGACCACCAGACTTCAGGGTCTCTTTTTAGGCTAGCACGCAGTTTTGCGAGTATCATTATGTTCGCTCCCATCAGGAATACGTCGGCGAACATCCGTAGATTCTAGAGACTGTGTCCAGGTGGGAAATTTGATTTACCGCATGAAAACGTGCCTGATGACAGTAGCGTTCGGCGAATATGCGACCAGTGAGCATCAACGGAGTTCAGTAAGCGTCTACTCAGCTCGGATGCCAGCGTACTTTGTTACGTATTCCGACCACCTGGCTTCGCCAGTTGGCTAGTGTCTATGCGCGCAAAGCGAGGTTGCGGACATCCGCCGAAAGGCACCAGAAAGCCGGCACAAAAAAGAGCATGATCGGATTCTCCGCTCGTGCTCCAAATCGAGTGACAGTGTTGTACGCAGCCCTTCCGACGGTAACTGCGATGTGATCGCTTTGCGTCCATGGATGGTCCGAGGCTGGTAGGCGTAAGTCACTCTTCCGCGAGTGCTGTGTACCAAATTAGTGTTTGTGAAAAAGAGACGAGCATCTTCACACAGGTGTAGCAACCGCTCACTGGTATCATTACGAGAGCCTGCACCATGTTGGCCGCCCAGATGAAGCTCACCACTGGACAATTTGCCGACTTTGGCGTTTAGATCACCAGCAAGCACCACGGTATCCATAGTTTTCTGTAACGCAGAAGCGCGTTCAGTTGGTGATAGAATGCATCTTTCAGCGAATCAGTGCTACAGTTTGTGAGCGCGTGGGTCGCAATGACAGACAGGCAAAGTTTGTCCCCGCGCAACTTCGAAGCCTGGAATGAGCCAGCCAATCTAAGGGCGCACATCCGGCTGTTAACTGAAATCAAATCGATCAAAGAAGCTTCAGCCCGGGGACTCAAAACAATGCCCATGCCGGCTTGACCGGCATTTGAAGCTGCAGCATAACCAGACAGGCGCAATGATAATGTGCCGCAAGTGTCGCATGTGGGGGATAACAGGGTGAGCACGGAGTTCGGATCTTGCACGCGGGTTTTCGATAAGCAGCAAATAGCGTCGATACGGTCTATAGTGTTCGGGCAATTGTTGGCTCTTGACCAATCTGTAACAAAGTGCGCACGTTGAGGCATGCAAGGATCGAGGATTCCAATTCGTTGACTTGGAAATGTTTGTTGTGCACTGAACTTTCTGTGTCAGTTTGTGCATTCACTGTGTCATATAGGTAATCGGATTTGCCGCACGTGATTCTCCTCGGTCACGAAGCTACCGATGACAACGATAGAAAGTTAGTTGCGGAAATATTTTGGGCAAACGTTTAGAGTGGGGACGACATTGGTTCCTTATAGGAATGCAAATTCCTTCTCGCAAATTTGGGTTCTATGTGTTGAGTAGCTCTCCGCTTGGCACATCGTGGTCACAAGTGCATAACCAAATACGGCTAAGAAGCACACAATGAACAGGCCGCTTATCAATGAACTCAAACGGATCCCGTTGGATTGCAATAACACTCGAGCTGGACCGGGTCCTTAGCGCATTGCAGACCAGAAGATTGTATCAACGACGAGATTGCTATCCCCGAACAAAATCTCCTACTCGAAAAAATTGGCTAAGAAAAACTATCAACACACAATAATCTATCGCAAGCGTTTCTCCTTCACCTCCCATTCTCATCAGTCTAATACCACGTTTTCCTTGACATCAAAATACCAATCTTGAAGTAGAAGCCAGCACAACCACTGTGGCTAGGCTATCCGTCATGCCTACGGTCTCGTTTCACATTGTGTCTTCTAACATATTCAATTTCTGTTATAAAAGGAGAAGCTACTCCCGTTCTTATTATCTTACTCAGTTCTAACCAGTAGGTGGTGTGATTTTGAAGCAGGTGCAAAACCTGGGAATAGTCAGTGAGAAACGCTCTTCCATTCAAGGTGGAAAAGTGCTTTGTTGTTCGCATCCTCCAACGACACACACACATCTACACGCTTTGGGGCGCAACGTCTGTAGATCGCCTTCCATGAACGTGACCTTGAGGTGATGGTACAGGACGACCTCGTTGTTCCAGGTAGTCAGACTTCGCTAGCATATTAATCTCTTGCAGAGGGCACTAGTGGAGTATGGCTTCATCTGTCTTCGCTCTGATGCTAAATGCTTACGGGTGTCCCCACATTAAATAGCCTTGGCTAAAGCGTGATTCCGCAGCGGTCGGCTCACCACAACGCCAGGTAACAAAACATGTCAAGGGTTTGGGCCATCTTCCGTACCAGAAACGGCTGAAGGAATTCGGAGTGTCTAGTGACTATGTGGAGACCACTAATTAGCATACCAATACTAAAAGATACCAGTCACATATGTCGCCAAGGTTCGAAACACGACCCGAACATCAATCTGAGAGGCAATAACTCGAAACTGAGTCAAAAATACAGTCGTCTAGATTGTTGACGAACTCATTTCTCACTCCGGGTCCGCCAACCTTCGAATGCGCTTTCAAAATCAGCTGTATGTGCCCTCAGTAAAATCATTTACAAAATATGCATGGGGATCGCACTCAGCTCCCTACACTTTTGTAATGTGAACAGATAATCTAGAAGCTATTTAGGTTAACTAGTTTTGCTGGAAGTATACTCCATACCAGTTGCACGTAAATAACTGCAGACAGGTGGGAGTTCAACTTCTTTTTACAACAAGCACTAACCATGGTAACTTATTGTTCCGATTTGATTGATGGGATCACATTCCACGTCGTCGCTTCACTGATTCGCATCTTATTCTGTGCGAATGAGTAGCCCACGAATTCGTAGTTCCTTCCTTTACCAACCTACCGGACCTGTTATACATAGGTTATTTTGACGTGTCATAAACGACTGTTCTATTGTTTAGTTGTCTCGTAATGCATTTCTGATCGTCCAACTCATTCTCGGTTGTCCATTTCTTAAATTGATGAAATCGAGAAATTCACCCTGTAGGCAGTACGCTCACACGGGAAGATTTCAGTGAATAGCGCATCCGACCGTGCAACTCCATCTGTGCTGCTACGACCGTCCGTTGAACCCTCCTGTACGGTTGTAGAACCTGACTAATCAGATCGACAAAGAGGTAAGTTTCGTTCGATCACCGGTGGTTTCGCGGCTTAACTCACATATGGTGGGAACACCGCGTGAGAAATGAGCGCGTTCGAGGTCTTATTTATGACACAAGAAGAGCAAATAGATTGCTCAGTAACGTCATAGCACGCACCGGGCTTAGATGGATGGATGATGTGCTATGAATGCCAGCACACCGTCTCCTGCGACCCGCGTTATTTTCGCGATCGGGATCTGGGTGAAAAAGGGAGAGGGGACCAACCGATGACTTTAACAGGAAGAATGACGGCTCACACTTCAAAATCGGTCTAGATTAGTGCCTCGCGGCCACCGAGTTGAAGCTCAAACGACGAGGAACGTATTTCGTTGGACACACTTTTTGACATGTTGATGAGTTGATTTCCCCGATTTTTTTTCTTTCCTATCTGCTTGCTTAGTAGCTCCCTCCAACCAAGACCTCACTAATGCGGTAAACTAATATGTATGCTCTCATACGTTTTGATGCTACCTTTGTACGATTATGTAAACGTATTGTATCACAACACAATAGCTGGGGCGTCTCACTCCTAGCTAACGAATAGAACGATGATATGCACCTGGGTGCCGTTTGAAGATAAGGCCTCTTGCATTGCTTTGGTGCGCGCTCTCACAAACACAGGGCCGGAGAATGCCAGAGAGGAAAGCCACAGACAACTTAAATTAATTATTCGTATACCCAAAAACACGGATACAGCTGTCATCGGTAGAGATATGAACTCCCAAATGAGCTGCATATCGACGCCCGGTGAGACCGTCTGGGGACTCGCTGTCGTGATAATGGAGATCGATTGTCCCACTTGTGTGACGACTATAATCTTCACATAAGAGGGGAGGTTTTGCGATATAGAATTCAGCATCATGGTGAAGTAAGTAGCAGAAGCGGGGTCCATCGGGCTTTGGTGTCCAGATTAGAAGTGACGAACTAAACCGACCTGATGCGGATCACCAAAGCAGGTTTCGATGATGCTCCTGATACCAAATATTAGCTTATCGGAATCGAATTCGAATATGTTTGCGGTCCCAAAGTTCCCGATTTTTCTACTTATCTAGTTCACAGATTGCATCACCGCAGCAACGTGAGGTTTGTTGGTTTTGTGTAGTGCACTTAGGTTAGTGTATCATATTTGACAAAAGATGAGAATGGTTGCATCAAGTAGACATCGATTAAAAAACCTATATAACTAAGCAATAAGCACAAATAGACTCACTGCTTTTGTGTGCTTTGATACAGAGCAGATTGAAAATGGTTCTTCATTGATGAATGTTCTGTTTGAAAAAAGGTACTAGTTAGTAAATAAGGTAAAATGAGCAAAAAATTAAAGCCGAAAGCTACATAGAATATATAACTCAAACGAAGTTGAATAAATGAGAACGTGGACCGCCTCTCAAGAGTTGATCAGCCGTGGAATACCTCATAAATAGTTGTAGTTAACGAGGGTAATGTTATTCAAACATCAAGTGAGAGATGAGCACGGGGCCCTGTCCGGTTCACCAGGTCTATATGGATATAAGGTGATCGGATATCAAATGTGCACTAGGCTGGTAGTTGTGACAGCCATGAGGATAGTTTCAGTTAACTTTAGGCCAGTAAACATTGCAGTGAAACTGACACGAGGCAAGAATAACAGACATACAAACCCAGTCGATGGCTCAGGTGACTGCCCGTAGATCCGGTAAGCACCAATTTGTAAAGTCCAGGCGCACATCAGTAGGCAACAACCGATAACTAAGCAATGTAAGGCTACATGGAACATAAACTAGTCAATTACGGTTATCCCGTCTATTAGAAACAGAACTAAAGCAGAGATCAAAAAATTTTCAAGAGGAAAGTTATTCCCACTACAACTGCTGCAAAATGACCTTCCAATCAGTCATTAACGGTTGTGCCAAACCTTGCTTGTAGTGACCCCGAGGCCAAAGCGGTACAGATTACGGCTAATATTCCAATGGTCCCGGTTTCGACGTCTGTTATCTCCACCAGATGAGATTAAATAAGGTCGAAACGCGTGGTTGCCTGCAGTTTTGTCGGGCAGGAAACACCCATTTTCCAAATGGTTTCTAGTTTGAACATTCGAACTGAAGGGTAGGGTATACACGGTAAATAAAACGAACGAGATGTAATGTGGTAAACAATGCAAAGCAGTTTAATCAAACAGAGCTGCCATTTTCATTATCTGGCACTGAGCGATATTCTCTCTAGTCCGCCCCCTTGGATTCGCTTCACGCGCAGAAGTCGGACATGAGATTCCAGTGTTGCAATTGAATAAGGCTGCACGAGCAGATAAACTTTCACCAACTCTTACCAAATTAGGGGACTTGCTATCGTAGATGAACCGCACAAAATACCTGTGAAGCTGTGGGAGCAGAAGGCTGTCACAATAGAATGTAGCTGCTTGATTATAGTCTCAATTTCAGAATACTGCAGTCACGGATGAATCAGTCGGACCTCAAGTGTCTCTAAGGTGCTTGTCTCTGAAGCCTTCAAGATACTAACTGGCATCCGTGAAATCCGGATGAGCAAGGAGCAGGCCGGGTTTCGTCGAAATAGAAGCTGCATTAACCACATCTTCGCTGTACGTGAATTGTTGGAGCAACGCCATAATTTTTGGAAGCCATCGTAGTCGTATTTCTCGACATCAAAGATGCCTTCGATTCGGTGGATTACATGTGTCCTTTGGGACTGTTTAACTAGGAAAAATATGCCTGAAACATAAATAAATGTCATGACAGCGATGTAATGCATAGTTCGGGCAGAATGAGGGTTTACAACTAACTTTCGCCATCCTTCGATATCTCCAGCGGTGTGAGACGAGGATAACGGCTGTCAGCTTTTCTCTTCGATTTTGCCATTGACGAAGTCATGGACAATGCGTTCAGTGGACATGAGCTGCAAGCCGTAAAGCTTCCCCAGGTGATCGACTGCTTGAATTGGAGTACGCCGAGGACATTACCCTCAAATGTGACAGCGTCCAAACGTGCCAAGATGTACAGAGAAAAGTAGCATTCGTCGTCAGTCGTTCCGGCTTGTGCTATGAACTGTCGAAATGCAAAGTCCTACTCCAAAATTGACCGATACTCACTGTTGCGCTGATCCTTGGTGAGGATCAGCTAGAAGTCAGCGAAAAATTCAGGTAATTTGGCAGCCACATTAGCGCCAGTGGGATACAAGATGAGACCATCAACCGTATAGCAAAAGCACAAAACGCTTTTGCCACCTGTGGCGTGGGCGCGACATCACTTTTGCTCTCAAGAGTTGAGGTTATTATGCAGCCACGCATCTAACCCTCTTGTACGGTTGCGAAACCCGGCCCACCAGGTCGACAGACATAAAGAGGCTTGTTAAATTCGACCATCGCTGCCTTCGCAGCTTAGCTCATGTATGATGAGAGCCCCGAGTGATTAGTTTAACGCGCTTCATCCTTGACTCCATTTTCTTTATTTACATTCAACGCCACTACCTTGCCGTTGTTATTTATTGTTATCCTTGCGATGTGAGTTGTGGTAACTGCATCCACCGCACTTCGGTGTACGAAGCATACTTGTTCAACTGTAATAAACTGAGTGCTATCTGCTGCTCTAAGCAATATGTATTTGCAACAGCTTACGAATAGGCATGGAACGATCAAAAACCATGGAACTCAAAAGAAGGCATCGATATCGTAAAAAAAAACAACACGGATAAGACCATGGTTTCGTCAGAGGGCGAAGTACTACCCGGTTGCCCAAGCAGAAATAGGGTGTAAACTTAGGGGACACCAGCCCGAGATTTTGGCCGAATGACCTGCCCGCAAGGTAGTGGAGCGAATTCAGGGAATCGCGCCCGTTGGGAGCCGGTGACTGATTGTCCAGTTCATACGCCGTTCGTTTGTTCGTTCGCAAAACAGCGGCCCAATGCTCCCCACAATTTCAGCATTAAGTTGCTGGAATACAATATTTCGCCAGTAAGAAGTTAGGGGAAGTGACTTTATTTAGTGGCGAGTCACATCCGCCACGTCACAGTGTTGTTAAACGGACTTATGTGGCTTTCTATAGGGAGATCGCTTTCGAAGCGAAAATTGACCATGTCCTGGAACACTGTCGCCGAACGATTTGCTGGAATGGGATAAGCCCAAACCACCCAGCTGGCACCACCAGGAGGTTGTTCGGCAAGCAAATAGCCTATCACTGCCATGCAACCGCCAAGGCACATCACGAATGCGGACATGCTGGTGCCATCCGATACCAGTAATTCTTCGCAGATATCGATGATCAAAGACTTGAATGCGTCTCGGTACCTCAGATCGAAAGAGCCAATACTCACTCCCATACAGTAGGATGGCCTTCATTTTGGCCTAGTGCACACGGTCTTGTAAACAGAGGGAAACCTCTTAATAACGCCAGAGATGTTGTAGATTCAAAAGTTTCAGCTTTCGCAATGGGTGGACTGTGCTCAGTTGCTTTGCGCCCATCGTTGCTTGTTAGCAGCAGGCATTTCTTGATGCGGCAAATCAAATGGACATACCATGCATTTGAACTCCATCCAGTTTCTAGAACTTCTGGATGCTCGCCGTGTTCCTGTTGGAGACGAATGCAATGAGATTCGCAAAGTGTTTAGGCTAAAGCTGCGTGCTAGCCTAAAAAGAGAGCGTGAAGCGTTGCGGTCTCATCGTGCCTCGGAGATGGAGACAGTGGCTGTCCATGGTAACCATAGAAAGTTATTCCATCTGATAAGAGGAACGGGTAGCAGGAAAGCTGGTGTTAGCCAGACCATATGCGACGACAGTGCACAGCAGATCCACAGCTCGTCAAAACGCCTGGACTGTCGGAAGAACACTATGAGTAGCAGTTTAATAAGTCAAAATAGACAGCTTCTCCATCGTCCAATGAGTGCCCTACACTTAAGGCCATCCCCTTGGATCCGCCCTCAAGCGCAGAAATCAAACGTGAAGTTACAGGACTGAAATTGAACAAGGCCGCCGGAGCAGATGGACTTCATCCAGCCCTCTTTAAATTCGGGGACCTGCTCTTTGGGAGGATTAACAGAAGTTATTAGTAAATCTATGGGAGCATGAGAAAGTCCCAAAAGACTGGAGCCGGTATGTTACAGTCCAAATTTTCAAGAGGTTCCGTTAAAAATTTTGCAATGACAGAGGAATCCGTATGATCTCCATCACATCTAAGTTACTGTTATGAGCTACTCCTGTATGCGATTCCGGTTGTACTGAATTCGTTCTCTGCTAGCTCCGAACCCCAGCCAATAATCAGAAGTCAACGCTTGGAAGCAAAAGTGTGTTGCAGAACCAGCTACCGAAACGTTACCAGTAGTGTGAAATCAACAGACATTTTTATAAGTCAACGAAGGAAGACTCACGTACCAAAACAGCTAGGTCAGCTGTCCTGATTGGTAGATCAGTTCCGCTAGCCAACGGGGAGGTACCTGCGTCGTGTAGATCTGAATGTTCCTGATGCAAACATTCCTGAAACGTCTTGATGTTTCTTGTGTACATCACTGGTTCGAATCGTTTTCCCATTGAATTAATGAGTTTTCCTGGGAGATTTTACTCTCCCTGACAGTTCCTTGCGTCCGTCATCCTTCATAGGCTGACTGGCAATCGTGAAATCCAGATGTATGAGCAGCGAGCCATGTTTAATCGAAATCGAGGCTGCATTGACTACATATTCGCTTTACATCAGTTGTCGGAACATCGTCATGTTGATTGGCGGCCAACCGTAGTCGCGTTCCTATACATAAAAGTGGCCTTTTATTCTGCTGCTCGCTGTGCCCTTTGGGACTGTCTGTTCAGGAAAGGTGTGAAGGAAAAATATGTAAATATCACGAGAGCGCTGTACGCGCATAGTTCGGGCAGAGCGAGTGTTTATGGAAAACGGTTGACGCCCTTTAATATCTCCAGCGGCATGAGGCAAGGTTGCCCGCTGTCAGCTTTCCTATTCAGCTTTACCAAATACGAAGTTATGGAGACTGCGTTCAATGGACACGACGCACATGGCGTGGAGCTGCTCTCACGTGATCAACTTCTTGACTTGGACTACGCCGACGACATTACCCTTATCTGTGACAGCTATCAGACGTGGGAAGCAGTACTAGGCAAATAAACATAGGCTGTCAATCGTTGCGGGCTATGCTTTGCACCGGGCTACTTTGTGGTAAGGTGAGTTATGCACATTATTGCGCGTGGTGAAATTCCCGCGTTGTGCAGCTTCGGCGCATCCCTCATCCTTGGTGCTTCCGTCCCTGTCGGTTGTAGCCGCCGATATTACGACTCGGAGAAATAACCATGAAGCAAAAGAATTTGTAGTTGCCTTAAAATTTGCTTCTCCACCAATATATGGTTCTCCAGAGTCTTGTCAATACGAAACTTGCGTCCGTCTCCGAGAATGGATTCCACTTTTTGCGATGTAATCAGCTTTGTTCATTAGTACCACACCCGTACCTTTATCCGGCTGCAGGAAAAGTAGGTCCTTCATTTCTTTAAGCTCCTTGATTGCCATATAGTGTTCCGACTTCAAGCAACATCCCTAGAACACGTAGTATATAGTGGACACAATGAACAAACGAAAGGTTCCTTCAGGAATTGGTTCGAGATATCCAATAATTTTACCTGAAACCATCCTGCATCATTCTTTGATTTCGGCGAAATGTCACCGAGTTGGACGTACAGCTATTTAAAATTAATCTGTGTGTGGAGCCTCTCCACCTTCTTCGGCAGTATTCGGTATTTCAGTCCCAGCGAAAGAACTTACAACTGTTCACGCGTGAACCGAGCTTTTGACAGATTGTTCACATGCTGCTGGCCCTTAGTAGAGAAAGGAGTGTTGGCTTCTCTCACCAGGGTGCCTTGAACGCTGCGTAGTGTTTTGGTCCTAGTACGCTGGATCAAAGAATGAAGCAGAACCCTACCTCGTTGATAGACACACACTAGCTGATATGGCGAAGAACCAAGCTCAGTTGCGTTTGTGTGATGAGTCTCTTCGTTCCTCACCTCCCCTTTAGCTTCCGGCTCCAACAACAATCTCAAACCAGAAAAGACAAAATTCCGGCCCAGTCCGGATCCTTTGTCCTACTTGCACCTGTGGTGCGAGATACCTAGGACACACGGTCTGTGAAAGCAGATAGCAGAACACTATCCTGCCTCATTAAAGCGTGGTACAACTAGGAATGTAACAGCTCCATCCTAGAACACGTAGTACATAGTGGACACAATGAACAAACGAAAGGTTCCTTCAAAATAGTGTGTGTAGCAACAAAACGCTGCCCAAAAATACTCAGACCGCCTAGTGGCCACATCAGAAGCGGTCGCGATCAATCAACGCAAGCGTGTACTTGTGCAAAGTTTAACCTTACCGTGGCCCGAGCCTGGTCAGCTGACTTCTGGCATGGTGGTCAATGGTAGTGGGTTTCAATGGACATCGTTTGCTATCGTTCATTCGGTCGCATTATTCACGACAAAGCGCCGCATCGCTAGTAATAGCTTCGATACAAATGATTGTAAATCTCATTTTTAATAGCCTGATTTTCAGAAAGGAAATTTCCTCGCAATTTTCCTTTGGACATTTGTATAGCTTAGTCTGTATTGCTTAACAGCTTATCTATTTTGTATTGCGATACATTAGCTGAGATGTCTCACCCTCGGCTAATGTGTACGGATGATGATTGTTAGGGAGTCCGTAGGTAGCATCTCTTGAAGCCAGATCTCTCCAAAGCAG